ACTTATGACTTGAAAATAATATATTGAGTCAGGAAGCTTTAGATGGTCATTGACATCAATAAATCTTTTTCACAGGCTCTTTTTCACGTTGTTCGTAAATCTGACGGCAAACTATTGAAGACTCAGTATGCAGCAAAAGCTTTTTATATGTTTCATCACATCAATGCCTATGAAGAGGATGGTCATTTAATTGTAGACTTGTGCACATATGAAAGTGGCGAAATTATTCAGGCTCTATACGTGAAAGCTCTAGAAGAGATGTTTGAAAATTTACAGAACGATAGTGTCAATAATTTTAAAACTCGTACAGCACGATACGTCTTACCTTTAGACGTAGATGATACCGAAAAGGTAGTATATAAATTTCTTTTATGTGGCACCATAAACTCAGGTATTTCTCTATCTATTGATTGTGATTGATTGGATATAGGATTTAAGGGCACAAGGTCCGCAAAAGGGAATGCTGGGTCAAAAAACGGTTTAAAAATTAATCGATTATTAAAATGTATACTACAATTTTTTTATTACTAAGAAACAACAAATTTATAAATTTTCGTAATTTATAAAATAATAAAATTTGTAAAACTGTACACGACGTAACAAAAATATTCAAACGAGAGTAAAACCAGATAAAATGTAAACACGGAAAAACATAACAAAACAGTTGCATTTTAAAATGCTTTATATTATATAAAATTGTAAATAGGATAAAACAATTCAGTATAAAAGACAAATTGCGCGTAGAAACGAAAAAATGTTAGGATGATGGGAAGCACCTAATAAATCCTCCAGAGATAAAATAGAACTACCGAAAAAGGTAAGACCATGACGATTAAAACATGAGCAAATTATTAAAATATGATGAACAGTTCTCCATTGGGGTTTAAAGTCTCCAAATAGCAAATGAAGATAAGTCAACAGAGTGTGGCCGATTTGGAGACGGGTTACCTTGACATGTGAACGCGGCAGACGCAATATAGGTAAAGGGTGAAATCTGAAATGATGAGTTAAGTTATAAAATCAGACACGAAAATGCTTTACAATGATATTCCCTCGACAGATACTGGCGAATGCATATGCAACTTTCAAAATATGGAAAGTAAGCGCAATCTGAAAAATTTAGATCTTAATAGTTCAACCAGTTGTTAAAGTTGATTATTCAGAGTATTTTCAAGAATTGATGATGAATTTAAGATGTCAAATTAACCCTAAATAATTCGATAAAGAGATCATAAGATCCGATAAAAAAAAATCGAACAAAAACAAAAAGACTGTGACCTGAAGAAGTTTACATAAAGAAAGAACAATCCCGTAGTTTAGTATAATATAAAGAAGGCGAGTAATCAGATTTAGTGAGTTATGATATCTATGATAAAATGTAAATCCAATCCACAATTCTTTGAAATTTAAATGAATAAACATATGATGAAATCCGAATTGCTTAGAAGGGCTTATGGGAAGGATGGCTCCCCTTTACGTTAATCCCACATTTTTTAATCGTAACCAAATTACAGCAAAATATTATTGAAGTGAAATTTAATAGGTCTGAAATCGTTCACATTTTTCTATATTGCGAGAATTCCACACATTACTACAGCTCTTAAAATTCACTCTTTAAATTTGAAAACTGGTTAAGTTTTTCCACTGGCTTAGATAGTTACATCAAGAAAGTCCTCCACGAAGGAAAATTTCTCTCAATACTTGATCCAGGAATTCCCTTATCTTCTGGCTTTGGTTCAAAATTACAACGCTACGGAGAACAGTGGTAATTGCTAACTTAAAATTGAGTCGGCTGTTCAACGTCGTGACTGTTAATAAGTCTGAAATATAAACATTTGTCAACATTTTTCTTACGTCTGCACGTGTCAAGCGGCAGAAATAAACACTGAACAACTATTCAATGGATGCTAATTAGTTCGCTTTCTGCAAACATTCTTATAAAGTGGTAAAGTATTAAAACATGCAGAAATTCAGTTATTTTTGCTAACACTTACGGAGGCTCGACACGAGAATTTATATAAAGTTGCGTTTTATTTGAATAATAGAATCATTTATATGTAGAGGTGGGAAAATAAATTATCAATCAAATTTGTTAAATTAAAAATCATCTATAAAACATAAATTTTCCTACGATTAAAAACCAATTTTACACAAAGTGGAGCAAGTTGGCATCTCTGCCATTGGCATCTCTGCTCATGGCGGCTTTTCAAGAAATAAAATTTTTCATGCAGTCAAAATTGTAAATATTAAACTTAGATTTTTTGATTACAACCTTCAAAAAAGTTCTAAATCATTGAGCTATTTAAGCATGTGATTAACAATCGTATCGCTGGTTCAGAGTTAAAATGACACTTCTGCACTCACTTCTCATGTTATTTGAATGGGAAGTGAGAACAGAAGTGTCGTTTTAACTTTGAACCAGCATACCGCTGGTTCCAAGTTCGGTTTCTTTTGTCCTCTAATTTTCAGGACATATCGCAAATATCTATTTCACAGCACAAAAGCGAAAATAATAAAAATTGAAAAATTCGAAGCAAGTTCACAAATTCACATGCAGCCTAGACCAATGGAATTAATATTTCGCCATTTCTTCAAAACGAAATTTCGTGAATCTCAAATATAATATAAATAATTGCGTGTCCACTTTTGAGCATATATATTTAACTTTCTGATATGTCCTGAGCTTTGTACCAGAGGGAGGATTTATAGATATTAGAATTTTGTGGTTTTTTTTATTCATTATCTAATTTGTTTTTAACTCTTATAGTTGAAACTTTAAAAATGAGAGAAAAACATTGCATTAAGTTTCATTTTCTATTAAATATGTCTTTAAGGAATTCAAATGTTTTTTTGAAAGTTAAACGAACACTTCCAATTTGTTGTTTTAAAATTTCAAAAGATATTTAGAGTAATCAAATGTACAATCGGGAAAAAAAAATTGAGAATTCTAATGCAACCTTCTAGGTGAAAATTTAAACAATTCCAGCTTGAAACAAAACTGAGAATTGCAGATAACATATGCTGTAAATTATTGCTAAGAATTAATAATGGAGAAAAAAAATTTCCAGACATAAGAAATATGGAAAGATCATTAAATTACCCAGTACTAGCCCAGAAAAATACATATCTTAAATATATTAACCTTTTTTATATCTTGAAATATAAACCTATCCATTTGAGGATTTTTAATGTTAGTTGTATATGGTGGCAAAAAATTGACGGCCTGCTCGTTACCCGTTCAAAATTAAACTTATGACTTGAAAATAATAAATGGATTTAAGAATGTAAAGATGATACTTTATAAAATTGATTTTTCTGTGTTTTTCAAATTTCCTGTCCAGATTCTCAATATTGACCTATTATTAGGCACAATATGGCCTTGTTATAGTTTTTTCGCCAAAAAACATAAACCTAATAAAATCAATTTCCTGACAAATAAGACAGAAGCACATATTATTAAGTTTGAATCTGCATCGCAAGGCTGTTTTTAAGTTTTATTAATAACTGTAATTGAAGAAAATGTAAATTTTGATAAATAATTTACATATATGCTTGCCAGTTTACAGATGCGTATATATTAGGGTAGTTTCTGTATTCATAACAGATGTTCTTTAACTTTGTAGGATAAAAATTTAATAAAATTGTGCAATTCAAAAGCTACAGCTGTTGTACAAAAGGATGGCTCAATTTTTTGTACACCTGAGATTCTAGCAGGTAAGTTGTTTTGTGGCTGATAATAAAAATTTGGAAGTTGTACAAAAAAAACTTGCTTACTGTAAAAATATACAAAATGTAATGTAATTTATTCCACTATTGCTGACTAAATTTGAAGAAGTTGGCTAATTTTATTCTATTTTAAATTGTTATTAAATATATTAATACTATTTCTTGAAACAATCATAATAAATCTTTTTATTCATGAACAAACTATTACAAAGTTTATTCACGTCACATAGTTTTCCTAAACTAAGTTTTAGCTCATAAGGATGATTATAGTCCTGATCTTTTTTTCTATTAATGTCAATGATAATTTTCCTTTTAATTTTAATAACTATAATCTTTTAATTCAAAATGTTTTAAAGAAGTTTACTTAATTTGGTCGATATTGAAGTCTGCACAAATAAACCTTCACGGTGAAAAAAGGATTTTTTGTTCCTAATAAATATAGATGGCAGCACTAAATTATACTTTTTGATGTTTTGAGAGATAGTCTTTATTCATTCACATTTTCCTCTTTATTCAACAGAAGAACATTGAAATGATAAAGAGGATTGAACTGGGGTGATTTAATTTAACTTCGATGTTTTAAAGATCGGGCAATTTTTTTTTCTGATTATTTTACGTCTTTTTCTTAATTTAGATTTATTTGTTTATGCATTTTATTGTAACCCTGATAATATATTTTAGTTTTGTGTACCTGAAAACTTAGGTGCAGAATTAGTTTATGTACGACAAGGGCATCATGGTTGCCTTTGCGTTAAGTAAGAAATATATGGTGAGAGAATTGAAATTTTTGTGATTGAACATGGAATGAAAAAACAGTATAAACGTAAACATATGCCACGTTTCAACAACCAATCAGGATCGAGGTAGCCCCACTACGTCACTTGCAGGTATCCTATAGATACATACGCCTTAAAGCGTGCCTCTATAAGCTTTAATGGTAATTCAATAAGATTTAATAAAATAAAATTTTGGTAAATTTTGAAAATCACAAGTTCAAATATAATGTTCGCATATTTTTCTTTTTAGTAAGTTGAACTTCTAACTCATTATATGATAGGTTGAAGCTGCAGGGACCATACAAAAAAAAAAAAGATTTATTGGGTACCATTAATGAATAAGCATTACTAAATTAAGGCACAATAATATTGCCGTGCAACTGAAAAAATAATGCAAGTGCTTCACAATAGATTCCGAGAAAAGTGGCTTGACAACTATTTTCCTTCTGTTGCTAAAGCTATAAACGCTAAAAAACAATTTCAAAAAACTGCTGAAATAAAATTTATTTATTTATTTTGTTTTTGCAATATGTACCTTACCATACAAAGATGCCAAGTAAAAATCTCAATTTTGAATTTTTGTCGCTTACGTTGATTACGTCGCTTACGTTGATACGACAGAATACAGAACAAACCTTATGGCCACAGTACCTAAAAAATAAGTTTCATTTTAAATTATTAATTTAAATGGGGAAAATGTACTTATCCGTTTATGAGAACCGTGTAAAATTGCTTTATTGCAATTGACGCCAATGATGCTTAAAAAGTTTGGAATTGGTACAAATTGAAATTTAGAAAAATAATTAACATTGTGCTAAAAAAAATTAATGGCGAAAGGTTTTCATTCGTCTAAGACTAAGAGAAACGTAAAAAATCGCCGTATTAGTTATTGATGCCAATGATAATTAATTTTTGTAATAAGTACTATTGGTATTATGTTAGTTCGCGCTTTTTTTATTGGGTACTAAATATACTAATGTTGAAACAAAGATACCTACTATAGGTACTGTAGAAATAGATTTTTTACGACCCACCGAAAGGAATAAGTACCGGAAAAAATTGTCGATTATGGTACTTTTTGACTGCCAAATCACCTCGAGCAATGTCAAATGTTACTGAATATAGTTAATCTGTATTTTTAAGAGATGAATTTCTAAAGACATGTTTTTCTTAATCTAATAACGCAAACACAGTGCAAAAGGTAATAAATAAAAAAATAAAAAATTTTGAAATGAATCGTTTTAGCCCAGTTAACTATGTTGGTACTACATTTCTTTTAATTTCGCAGTTTTGGTCAATATAGTTTTATTGATAATTTACTTTTTTTAATTAACACTTCATTTCAAACGTTATGACGAAAATTATGCTAAATAATTGCGAAATTTCAAACACATTTTTTTGTTTTAGAAACATGGTTTCCTGAACTACCAAGAATAAACTATCAGAATTTCAACGGCAAGAAATACAACTTTTTCTATGCCATAGCACAGAGGGACAAATTAAGAAGATGTTTGGTATGTTACAAATCGTTTTCAATTAGCGTAGCGACAGAAAACGTTTTATTGCTCATTACTAACTTAGAATAAAAAATTTTTTTCATTTTAGATCAAAGTAGACACAGCAAATAACAGCGTGAAACATTGGAACGAAAATGGAACTGTACCCTCAGAACCTATATTCATACCTAATCCAAACTCTTCAGCTGATGAGGAAGATTCAGGTGAACGTTAATTACGTTATATATTACGATATTAAAAGTGGAGTTTAATGGCTTAGGATGAGGTATCGCTTATACTGCACTAATGTAAGCTGCATTACGTACTTTAGATCAGTGATTATCAAACCTTTTTTTATCGTGGACTGGTCAACGTTTGATAATTTTGCAGCGGCCCTCTGAAGTGATTGTTTATATTTTAGATTATTTACTTATTTGCTTATTATACCACTGCTATAGATGATTTGATTAAACACAGTTTCGCTTAAAAAGAGAATCCATTGGAAATGAAAAAAAAAAAATGGTTCTAAAGACCTCCAATATTTTTAACCACATAAATAACTCCTACTATGACTTCGCCTATTGCGCTATCTATGCATGTGGTAAAACATTTAAAGCATTCAAATTAAAGTTTAAACTAGACGCAGATTAAAAAAAAATTTAATTTTATTATTGTTAAACTTGTCAAATGAATAAATATTAAAACTAATAAAGAAAATATAGATTCATGAATTTTCCATCAAATATACAGTAAATCCTTTTTTTTCTTCTCTTTTTAGGAGTCGTACTGGCATCGTTATTATATACTGATGATAAAAACAAGGTATCTTTGCTAGTATTGAATGCTAAAACAATGGAAGAAATTGGGAGAGTTACTTTTATTACAAAATCATCAGTACCTGCAGATTTCCATGGAACATTCATTCCTAGCTAAAGAATCAAATGAAAATTTTAACAAAGCTTCAATTAGTGTTTGTAATTTTGTACTATTTTTTATAAATCTGTAATTATCTGTACTATCTGGCCAACTGAATTTTTATTTTTTTGAAGAAAGAGGAAAATAAATTGCATAAATGAAATGTTTTTTTCGTTATAAATCATACTATGTACTGAGTGCTACATACGTTAAAACTATAGGTATGTATACAATTCTAAGAGTATAAATTGAAATATATACTGTCCGTTAAATAACTAGTAAAAGGTATCAGCAGCACTTGTGCCAAGACAATGGACACCGTTTGTAAATAGATAAATAAATAAATAAAATAACAATTTAAATAATAAATTGCAACTTTCTATCTTACAATTTCGCCTAGAAATTTTCATAATTTAAAATTTTGTTAACGTTTTGAAACAACGCGATCCAACGATCCATTATCTTTATAAATAGTCCTTCATTACTTCCAACATCTACTCTTTTGCTTTAGAATATTTCTTACGGATAAGAAGTTACAATGGAAACTGTAAAAAGTAACCAGAATTTTTTTTAATGCCACCTACTCTTGAAAACATTAGCAATTGATTTAAGTTGATCTGACCTTTAAAATACAGGCTAACTTACGATGAATATAGCGATTATAAACGGCTATAACTACTTAATGAAAAAGAATTTAGCGATAAAATTAACACAGAATGTAGAAGGAACTTCAAAATTTTGTAAACGTGCGTCACAGATTTTCTATGTGACTTCCCTTGGTCGGTAGTCTATTTCAAGCCATACATTCTGAACCATTTGTACAGTCACCCACGCAAGCGCATTACAAATGCGTTCTTTGAGTTCTTCAATTGTTTTTTTAGACATGGGAAGCACATAACCCCATAGATAGAAATCGCAGGGAGTCAAGCCTCTCTGCTCGGTGATAATAGAATGACAATTGTTAAATTCTAACAAGTAGAATGCTTTCTGCACGGGACTCGCCATTTTCACTAATGAACTCGCGCATGCGCAGGATTCCGCTTCACTACGCCTTACGTAAAGAAATTTTAAAGTTCCATCTCCATTCTATGTCAATCTTATCAATAAATAATTTTTCATTAAATAGTTATAGCTGTTTGTAATCACTATATTCATTTTGAATTACCATGTACAAAATATTATTTTTGCGGTAATAAAAATTCTTTTAATTCAAATTTATTTCACCAAAAAACCAAATTATAAAGTTTAACATGAGATAGAATGGGGACAAATATTCCTCAGTCGTAGGATATTATAACATTCGTATATAGAAGTTAACTTTGATAAAAAGTAAGCAGTTTAAGTACCTTTAAGACAACAGAATTGCTAAACCAAACACAAACTCGCATATTCACGTGATGTAACAATCTGAGACTCATTTCGCTAGGTTCGAACAATCTAAGACTCATTTCGCTAGGTTCGAACAATCTGATACTCATTCGCTCATTACGAACTGAGACAACAAAATAAAGAGCATGATGATCGCTAAGATACCTACCTCAGGCTCGTAAAACAACACCGTTAAGATATGTAGTGAGTGCTAAAATAAACTTAACTTTAAATTATTAAAAAATGCACCACAATGTATTAAGAAGTAATTTGGGATGAAAAAAATACGCATCGACTGATGTGACATTAAACTATAATATTTTAAAGTTTAATAGTAACTTATGTAGTTGCCAACTTGTATGGTCATCAAGGAATTTTTTTTAATAGGTAGCAACATTTATGTGTTAAAGTATAAGTATTGTTTTTAAAGTTTCAAAGACAAATAAAATAAAATTGTTTTAATAATCATGACAAATTGACGTTGTTGTCTTGTCTGTTTCAAAAATGATGATATATAGGAAGTATCATAGCATTATAGATAGTATGATAACTCGATAATTTAAACATATGTACGTAGGTTTACTAGTTATGCAGTATGCTTTTATTGGTGAAGTAGCTGAATTTTCAGAGAATTCTCCCCACTTGAATTATTGTTTTATTGTCACTTTGCTAAATCTGTCCCAGAGCCTGTACATATGTTGGCAATTATGAGTTTATAATTGTTTAATAGAAAGTAATACATCAAAAAACATGAAAGAATTTAAAAAATTTAAATTTATTCACCTTTAATTTTTTTTTTATTTTTAGAATTATCATTTTTTTAACATATTTTTTTTAAAAAAAATCTATTGAATGTAGGATTAATCAGAGTTTAATATTCACCTGCAGTATTTAATATGAACCCCAAAAAATGGAAAAAGCTAATTTTTTGTTTAATTTACGTTATAAGTATAAAATATTGAATTCTCAAATACAGCGATTTAAAAAAAACATTGGCGTTACAACCTGAAATGTTCAACCTGCTTTTGGTGGAAACCAAATTCATAAAAATTTCCTTAGGTATTGTGTAACCAAAGAAAAACTATAAATGTTTTGAAAACATTTAATGTGAAGAATAAAATATTTTGATCGAATTATCAAAAATTAAAATGAGGTTTTAATTTTTGAGAATTCGATGATTAAGATTAAAACTTAAAATTAGATTTCATGTCAGTTGAATTCGTAGGTTTGGTCATCTAGTTTAATTCTGAATTTATTTAATTTATTAATTAATTTATGTTTTTAAAAAAACATGTAAGCTTAAAATGAATTAAATAGGCTTAATCAAGCTTTTGCTAAAACGAAGGGGAAAAAAATACACTCTCTGAAAATTATAATTAGGGCGACATATTTTGCCATTGTTGAATTTAGTTATTTTGTCATGAATTGATAAGTTCGATAGGGAATATTAATCCAATTTTTTATAAATGCATAGCCTTTACATAGTTCGTTCAATATATTATTAAAAAATTTCTCCAGATTTCCTTTTAACTTATGCTATTTATTTTTTCAACGGCTTAACACTAGAAAGACGGAAAATTAGTATATACCTATTTTTCCCAAAAGCAGTCAAAATGACTGGATTGTGAATGCGTAAATAAATTTGTTTAAAATTAATTTTTAACATTTTTTATATTATTTACAGTTATACAACAAGTTATTAGTAAATATTAACAATTAAAAAAATTATATGTTGCACAAAAAGTCACAAAATTCTAAGAAATTGTGTCATTATATACATCATTGTTTTTCTAATTGAAATTAAAACCAGTCAAAATGACTTCCTTAGGCAATCTAGTGTTAAATAATTCTAAAAAATAACAGCAAACAACCGAAACTAAATAAATAAAGAATTATTGATAGGATATTAAGTTACAGGTTTCAGAAATCATCACTATAAAAAAAAAAGGCTTAAATTATGAGGCGGAACCTGTATAACTTTTTTACGAAATCCTGAGATTCCTGGAAAAACTTTTTGGGAACCATAATATCATATGAACCTTTTCCATGTGTTACATATGGGCAACCTGTCTTTGATAATATATTATTTAAATTTAGTCTACATGTTTTAAAATTGAATGTGCGGGTATTAATGACACATTTTTTAAAAAATATTCTTCAATTTTAATACTAACAAGACTATACAACACTCTCTTAAACTATAAATGAGAAGAAAATGAAATAAAGTAAGAAAAAAAAATCAAAATAAAAAAAAAGACGCCTTTTGTTTCAATCACAAATGTTGGAGATAACTTTGATACCATTTAGAAAGATTTGTTGCTTTTTCTTATTTTTTTCCACAAAGCTTTTTTTTATCAATAATGCACGTGAGGTTTGCTTGCATGTACTTAACGCAGATCACATATTATATTATATCATCCTTTTTAAGTATCCCTTGCTCGTAGCGACATCTATACATTGTTGACAATTTTCGCCTCAGAAAGGGCTGCGTCACTCAACCATCGTAAAGCATGGAAGGCAAACCAGCAAGTTTGTATATTCCTTTTTTGAGATCTTGTACCGAGGAATCATCCTCTCCTATTGAAGGAGAAATAAAAGGTAAATACAATATTTCACTAACATCGATTTTGAAAAAAATCCGCTACTCTGAACTTTCAGTGGATTTTGCGGCCATGAACTAACAACACGAGAACTAAGTCACATGGTTGAGGGGTTTTTTTTTGTGTGTGTCAATTGCAGCCGGCGATCGTTGCTGAAGAACACTGTTTTCTTATTTTTTTCTTGAGAAATTTTTTTTCTTTTTTTCCGCACAAAAGAAAATTGATGGAGCTCTTGTTCTTTAGTTTTAATAAAAAAAAAAATTTAAAAAAAATTCCATCAGCAGCGTTTAAAAAACATGTTTAATTTATTTTCAACAATTTCATTTTGAATTACACTAAGTATATATCTTATTCGAAAAGTAAATGAAAACAATATTTATTTTACAATACAATTCCTTTTCTTTTTTTAAATCAATTTTATATGTACATTAGGTTCTTATCAAATCAATTTTTATTCTTTTTTTTTAATCTTTTTGTTAGAATTAATTTTATACTATAGATATTCGATTTTTCTTTTTTCTTCTTGGAAGACTTGCTTAATTTATTTTCAACAATTTCATTTCGCCTTATGTGTACCTTATTATTAAATTTTATGAAAACCTTTATTTTACACTGCAATTTCTTTTTTCCTTTTCATTAAAATCAATTTTATATGTACTTAAGGTTGTTATATCAATTTTTATTCTTTTTCCCTCGTTTTGTTAATATTAATTTTGTACTCTCTAGGTTTTTATCTGATCAATTCTCAATAGACTTTTCTTACTTCTTCTTGGTAAACGTTTTCAATTTATTTTAAACAATTTTATTTCGAATTACTTTATGTATATCTTAAACTTTCGGAAAACAATATTTATTTTGCACTTACAATTTATAGATATATTTTTTGCTAAAATCAATTTCATATATAGTTTAGGTTTTTATCGTATAAATTTTTATTAATTTTTTCTCTTTTTGTTAGAATTCATTATATAATCACTAGGTTTTTATCTGATCAATTCTTATTTGATATTTCTTTTTGGAAACCGTGATGAATTTATTTTCAACAATTTTATTTTGAAATACTATATGTATACCTTATTCTTAAATTTTCTGAAAGAAATATTAATTTTACACAACAATTTATTTTCTTTCTTTTTTTCAAATCAATTTTATAGGTAATTTAGTTTCTTATCATATCAACTTTTATTCTTTTTTT